ACGTGAACTTCTGACGCTACAAAGCTGCACTTTACTGGAGACTTTTCTACAGTTTTTCTGTGCATAATATTACTTCATGCTACTACATCTTTAACATTCACTTGAATCGGTATGCGTCGTCATTGTGCGAAAGATCCCATTCCATGCGTTTTCAGGAAGTGTTTCTAACGCCTGTATTATAAATTTCCAAACAAATTAATCTTTTCTTTTCTCGCAGAACCTTTAATTTGAGTTCAAGTAACCCGCTGAAGTGTAATAAATAATTGTATAAAGAATAAGGGTTCCGCTGGCGTCGATTGATGATCCATCGCATCAGTTTTTGTTTCACAGAAAATGAGTTACTTCCATTCACTAGCTGGTCAGAAGAACCTATTCTCGTAAAGCAGAAACTAGGGTTGTTGCTCTTCATGTAACATGTAATCAATAATTTCGATTTTACCCTTTCCACGAAATTCTAACTCCTTTGCGCTCCGCTGCAGGTTGTCTGGATGCGAAAAGCATAGTAGGTGCATTACATTGGATATATTGTTGGCTGATTGTCTTAAATATGAAGTGTAACAAACTCCGTTGCTAGCGCTCTGTTACAGGTCATCCAGAATAGAAGAAGGTAGCAGCTCCATTGAAATGAAACACAATGTTGGCCATTTTTTTTTTTTTTTTTTTTTGGAAGTACGAAAAAGGTCTAGCAAAACTCCTCTGCTAATAGGCGAAAATATGCTGGCTCTTTAAAGCAACACTACATAAAATGTGGAGTCTTTTATTAATAACGATTAATGTTAATAAAAATTATCACTTACTTGCACTTCACACAAATTTGATCTCATATGTTACAAATGGGCATAAATAAAGAGAAATAAATAAAATCAGATATATATCGATTTAAAGGAAATAAAATTAAAGATGTATCGAGCTACGTTTATGGCACGAAAAATATCTTTTAGAATTTTAAAGGATTATCACATTGGCCTGTGCGTGCTTTCGTCAAGTAAGTGGTGAGCAGATTGAGCTAGCATATGGAACATCCATGGTTCGAATCCTGGAGAAGAAACTGTTGATTTTTCATGATTTCCGCTTCGAAAACTTACATGTGTGACATTCATAAACTGCTTATGCTGTATTAAATTATCGCATCCTCCCGCGCATATCCTTAGAGTATCAGTGATTAGCACGTTCACTTGGCAACTGGAAGATTTGCATTGTTATAATTCGAATTTCACAGAAGACATGGTTCATTTTATTTATTTCGTGCTTCAAAAAATTTAATAAATCTTTAGAAATGTTCACAAAAATCACCCGTTGGATACAAATTAAATTTATTATAATTATATTAAAGAAAACTTTGATTGTTAAGAAGTGCATTTGTTGCTTTCAAGTCTCTCAGTTTGCTAAGCAAAATTTCAGCTTAGTTAAATTTGATTAAAAATACACTTTGCCGAAAGGCAGTGCTGTGAGAACTGACTATTGCAAGGCCACATGGAAAATATAATAAAGATGTTGTTTCGTTCAGTGGCAACATTCGTCATTTCGCATGACTGAAAAATGCGTAGTTGCCTAACAGTATAGCATAATGTACAAGTAACGACCCAAAATTTTTGAAGACTCCACTAAAGACATTTTTAACGTGAATATAAAGTTAATAATCTTGTCGCAGTAATTATTGATAAATTCGATAATATAGTCTAAATAATTTAGGCTCTTAAACTAATTAACACAAGGTATTCATGAAAGATATATTAAACAGATATAATTCATTATTTTAAATTTTATTTCAAGTTATATTTTGTGGCTAAATGCATACGATTTTCTAATTTCATTAAAAGTTTTGTCATGAAAATCATAGTACGGCAAAAAAAGCGTTTATTTATGCTTCTAAATATGATAAAAACAAAATTAACAGCAATATGCATATAATCTCATAATAATATGCTGTTTAAAGATTTGAAACAAAATGCAATATAAATATTTACCTAATAAATAATAGTAGACAAATTTAATACAAATATTTACTCAATAAACATAAATCAAGTCTTCATAACATGCTTTACAAATTCTATACAATGGATCAAAACAGTACTGAATAAAAATTAATCACTTACACTAAAGACTTACACTGAAAATCCCATGGAAAAAAAGTATGAAATTTGCACCATTTGAGTTTCATTTAGAGACAGTAGTGCTGCTGCCTTAGCATTTTTTTAAGAAATTATTATCAAGATATTTTTCACAGCATTCTGTTTTACTTCAAAATTTAGTAATTAATAACACTTCCAGAATGCGCTTCAAAGAGACGATCTATATTTAAGTAAAATAAAAATCGGAAATCTGAAAATTTGCCAGGAAACCGAGAGATGAGATCCAATTAGCTGCGGCCCCATCTCTGGATGAGCCAAGCCCATGTTGGATATAGTTTTAAATGTTTCATATTTACAGCCACTATTAAATAATACCTACGCAGACGTACTATGTAAATTACAATCAGCTTCCGGATGGAGGTGTAAATAACTAATCCATAATTCAGTTGCTGTACTAATAAGTATTTTATAACTTTAGTCACAAAAAATCTTATATAAAAATGGTTTAAGAAATAAAAGCAATACATTTTTAATATGTAAACTTTATCCTCGTACAATACAAATGGTTAATCATAATTGTAGAAACGCATCGCGGATTTAAAACGAGAACTTGGTTGTTCTCAGCAGTAAAACACTAAATAAAGCTGTCGGTGGTTCGCAAAATAATCTCCCAAGCGAGATTTTGGAGCTTAGATGATCAACTCTTGGTGATTTTCCCAAAACCGAATATATTTGTTCTAGCAATTAAAAGTCTATAAGGTAGTTTCCCGCCTTCTTAAGGTGCTTTCGTAGTGTAGTGGTCTTCACGTTGGGCGCGTATTCCGGAGATCTAATGTCTCTACAGTGGCGACCGAACTAAAAGGGTGGTGGATGATGATCCTCCACGCCCAGGATTCGGCGATTGGGTTCCCTAAAAACTCCAGTCGCCCTTTAAAAGGGAGATTATATAAGGTATTTCTCCCGCCTTCTTAGCGAGCCTTCGTGGTGTAGTGGTCTGTATGCTGGGCGCGTATTCCAGAGGTCCGCGGTTCGATTTCCGGCGAAGGTGTTGCTCATTTTTCATCTTGCTTGCTTTCAAAAAATAACTTATGTCTCTACAAGTCTAATATGGTATTTAAAGTGTGTGCTGAAATGGAAGGCGGCTTCCAGCGCTTAACAGCTTAATGTGCGACAACAGTGAAATGTGTTTGTTTCAGTGTATTCTATTATCCCTTTATGTTTCTTTTATTATTTTTGAAATAATCTATAGACAGCTTTCTAATTTACACTTCTAGAGTTCTCCTTAGTTTGCATAAAAATTATTTTAAGTTTGGCATCTTTCCTGAACTTTTCATTTTCCCCTCGCATTTCCTCGCCAGGATGTAAATTTCAAAATTCCAAAAGTCAAGTGAAGCGATTATAAATACAGACGAATCTAGAAGTTTGTTCAAAGCGTGATTTCTCTAGCCAGCGCACGTTATTATTTTAATAAGTATATCGCCGGGTAGGTTGCTGAGTCAGCCTAGTTAGCCTTAAACTAAATTGCTAGTCCAGCCTTACTATTTATCATTGAATTTACTGTTAAATTATTTTTAAGTTCCACCCCAAGTCGTCGGTGTTATTGTAAGCACGAAGTATGTGCGTTTGTGTTAACAGTTTGATGAATAATAAAGGGTTTATTTTACCTTACTTCTGTGCTGTTATTATTCACGCCTGTGCGAGAATTCACCAGATTTCCTAGTAAGAGCATTTTAGTTTATGACAGTGAAGAGAATTAGATCTTACACACTGTCTTGGCTAAATTCACTAAAAAGGAAAAAATAATCTTTTATCTGTTACAGTGTCCTTGCTCATAAGTGATCAAAAAATAAAATCGTGGAGCACTGGTAAAGCACTATATTGGAACAATTAAACAGTTTTAAGGAACAGCACAAGTGATGATAAATAGAAATATGCTTTAGAATGGAAACATATTTATATTTCGCTTTTACAATATCCACTCGGAAATCATCCGTCATTGTTAGACAGCTCCATGACTTTATTTTTAGACAAAACTATTGTGATAGCTAAAATATTTTTTAAATTATCGCAATTTATATTTTAAAAGATTTTATTAAAAAACGTTTAAAAATGTTTAAGCTGTTTAACTTAGCTTGTTTAACTTAAGCTGTTAAGCTGATTTCAAAAGTGTTTAAGCAAAAAATTTAAAAATAATCTTTAGTTTAAAAAATTTATATACTTGTGCAAGATGATGAATATGTAAGATTAAGTTTAAATTTCAGATCCTTTAATCTCCTTCTCTCTGTTTTGTTTCAAATAAAATTTTAACATGGAATAATTAAATGGCTATCAATTTGAAAAAAATTAATGAAAAAGTTAATGAAGATATTTCTAAATCCTGCGTATTAATTACCTTTGATTTTCACTTTTTATTCGAGAGAAAGAGATATACAGTACATATACATAAAAAGGTCTGTTGTAGTTTAACAGGCATATAAAAAACCATCCAATCTTGTACTAACGGCAAGTAATAGAATTCGGTGGTATCACTCCTTTTAGCGAGAAAATTAAGAACATTAAAACTGAATTTGTTTCGTAAACTATGTGTACCTTCTTTTCTGTTCCAATTTTAAAAGAGAGTAAAAATGTCAAATATTTGCTTGAAATTATCGAACAGTCGGGGACCTGCTTCAGTATTTATATTCCTTCACTATATGAATTAACCTTGGATAATCGCAAGTCCATGGCTGTATATTTATTTAAAACATAAAGGTGTCCAGCATCATCTGTTTTCATCTACGCCAATACCACACTAAATTTCTATTATTATTGCACGCACATATACATTATTTTAAATAGTTTATTATTAAATGATCTTCATTTCCCAAAATTCAAAACAAATTTCTTAATCACTTTCATTGCTCACAGAGTACATCGGAAATCACTTACCGGAGCTTCTTGGTCTTCTTCTGTATTCTGAAAATAAGAAATATTGACTAATTAATTAATGCGAATTTATTTCTAATTAACGTATTCATATTATAATTTCTGTATAGGCTTTCTCTCACTACTCATGATAATCTTATGCATTAAAGCGAAACTACGAGTATGTCTCGTAGTTTATACGTATAATATGTCTTGTTTGAAGACTGCGTTTACCTAACCTTCTTTTTGCATTAACTTTCTTACACAAGAATGAAATACTGATATTAAAAATTAGTATCTGCTATACTGAAAGCGAAAAATCATAACACAAAAACATATTTTTTATTTAATTTTTAAATGTTTTTAAAGATTAATATTAGTTTTTAAAACACGTTTTCATATCCTTGGCATAAACTGAAGTAAATTTTTACTAAATATTAGCTGGAGTATCCGGTGTTGCCTGGGTTTTAGGCAGAGTAAAGGATAGGGGTAGTTTTTCGAAATTTCAAGTAGACAGTGATTTTCCTCTTATTTTGTTTCAAGGTGAATATGCAAAATTTTACCAAGCTTGAATAAAACTGTAGAACAGTGCAGAATTAACATTTCGCCAGGTAACGATTTTAGCAACAGATGATATACTTTCTTTGCTATCGGGTATGTCTTTTTTCGGGAATGAATTTTTGTAAAATCTCCATCCATTGATTTCTTCACCGCTTTCGAAGTATTGGCGAAAAACTGCTAGACAGCGCTCTTAAATTAAAAAGTTCTACATTCTTCTAAAGAGTTAATGAACACGGCGCCATCTAAGTGTTTTAGCAAGAACTGACAGCGGGAACGCAACGCAACAACAGCGACGTACATAACATACAACGATCTAACATAAACGCGAGGAGCGCGGACTTCGTGGTGCAAGTTTTTTGAAATTATGTAGACAATCCTGCTATCTAAACCCGTGTTGAAATCTAGTGGCAGCCAAGCAATAGCTGTTAAGTCACATTAGCCAGCAATAAATGCAGAAACAGAAGCTCACGCTACAAAGATACAGCGTTTGCCCACACTCTAACTTTCTAGAACTTAGTACCTTTTCTCCTCTAGGTAGAATTTGCATCACTTCATGCGCGCTACCAAATTTAAATATTCTGGCATTGACAATTAGGGGGAAGGAAGGTTAATAGGAAAGGAAATATAACTTAAACATTAACTGGTTAGAAAATAAATAGAAATCCCTACAAAGTGAATAAAATAATTTTGTAAGCCAAATTTTTAATGAAAAAATTTTTTGAACGGCGATAAAGATACATTCATCGCAATTTTTCTCAAACAAATAACTGGAACATATGTATTTCTACAAAACATTGATTAATCCTTTAATCTTTTGAACAGTGTAAAGTTTGACAGCACTTATCAAAAGTGTGAAATTGGTGTTCGTCCGCAAATATTATATTAAAGTAGTAATTAGAATTTTTATTTCTGATAGATTTTTGCAACGAAAGCTGAAGTTTTTGTATTCTTTCAGTGCCATAGAAATTTTCTTTGCCATTCGGTCATTATGAACAGTAGATAGAATTACGTTTCGGTAACTATTGGATTAACAAACATGCCACATCAATAATAAAATTCTACTACAAGTTTAAGAATATCAAATTTTGTTTATTTTAATATGCATGAAAATATCATAGTTCGATCCAAGGTTCGAATCCCGTGAACGGGCTGTCTGCATGGGAGTTTTCGTCGTTTTCTCCATGTGTGAAGTGTATACAAGTGTTTCCTTCAGAAAGTCGTCCACGAAGGCATCCTTTTTCTTGGGCATGGTTCTATATGCTCGAGTGCTTTGCCGTAATCAAACAAACCAAACCACTATCATAGAGCAGAAATCGAGTATTCAATTGAGCTTTTTCTGCGTAAAATTTCTCTTCAAAAGTTTGCTCATTACATCTTCATAAAATATAGAGTTCATCTGTCTTTCAGGGACAAATTCCTTATGAATTATATCTTTCCAATTAAAGAAGGTTACCAGTTCTTTTAATTGAAGAAAGTTACTGGTGTTTACTCAGGATTTTTGATATCGAAGTTTCTATGGCCGTTGTGACCTTTATTCAATATAAGCAGCCGATTTCTATTTTGCCTCAAGACCATAAACAAAGCACGAAGTTTCCTTTTCAGTCAAAGTTTCTTTGAAAAAATTAGTATTCATGTCTGGCATTTAGATCAAACTGGTTTCTCAGTTTTCGAATCCATGACAGCAGATGTTCATTGGATCAAAACAAACGATTAGCTAACGGAAAATCTGCCCGTTAGTAGATGGTATTTTAAATAGAAAGAAAAAAAAAAAAAAAAACAGAAATTAGTTTTAAATCTTTGTAGCGCATTCTGTATTCGTATTTAATACAATGTTTAATTTACTTACTTGGTCAACCTCCAATCCATCTTCCAGGCTCGTCCTGTCCATCTCATAAAATGCCTGCAGAGTGAAAAAGATAAGAAAATCGATCAGACATTCGTAATTGCCTCAGAATTTTAAAATGCCATGTCATCCAAAATTCAACTACAATTCCGAAATTGTGCAATGCCAAAAATAAAAATAAACAGGCATCTCATAATCTGCATAATAATATCTTACTGCGACCACAGATCATCCAGACTTTTGAAAAATTCAGATAAATGGACAGCCCTTTTTTCTGTGGGACATGTACGTATTTATTATAATGTGAATGAAAAACTTTTTATCTATTTATTCTTTTATCATTTTTTAATTTCGACACAAAATTATATCATTATAAAAATGTTGCACTTCACACTGTATGTCAGTGTGTAAGATTTCTCCCCCCCCCCACTTACCGCATGTCTTCGTAGTTAACTCTACAAGTGGTTCTAGAACATTTACAATTCACGGCATATTTGATGTTTTTGAATTTTGTCATGGAAAAAATAAGTCAAAACAACAGTTACAATACGCAATTCATACGGTTGGTTTAGTTAAATTAAAAAAGAAACGAAACACATATTTCAGATTTAGAAGCAATTTGTATAAAATGTACACATTTTCGAGAATATCACAGTAGAATAAATGAATCGCAAAAAGGTTGAGGAATTTTCATTACATCTTCTGAAATTTTGGAATCAGGCTGGATATAGCTGCCTCATTTCCTGTTCCACACAATTTATCATAACGACTGTTGGAAACCCCAGCTTTGCACAAACATGACATAGCTCACATTGCACATGGGCTATTCATCTTTTAACAATATCTAAAATTCATTTACTTCTTCAGTTGTCGAATTTTATCTTCAGTGTACTGTCGCAACACAAAGCAAAAAGATTTCCATCTACAGATGTAAATTCACATGGACTTCGACTCAGAATAGGTCTTGAATATATGCGAACTTGTCGATATTATTCATTGAAAGCAATCTTAATTGATAAACTCATAGGGGATATTTTACAGAAAAAATGGTTTGTAGAATGTCTGATAGTTGTTCTTCTTACGCTAGCACCAATACTTCCACGATCCAATTCTTAAATTCCATGGATCAAGTATCATTTCTAAGAAATTACTGGAATATTTCCGGCGCACAGTTTGAGAACTACTGTTCTATTTTAAAACATTAAAGAAAAATGTGGTATGTACTGACTTCAGTCGTATTGAGAATTGAAAGTATAATTATGTCCAAGCCGAGGCCACAAAAGCAAGGGCCACAAATCTCGTAGATTCGGCTCGGATACCATAATTGAAGTGTGAACGCAATGGTGAGCACATGACACGATACTTTTGAAAAAGAAAAATTTGTCGATTGAATTTTAGTAGGTATGGTTGCTTACTTTATAATTATCCTAATATGCATCTTTGAGACAAAAAGCAGTTTTCATAGCATGATAGTATTCTAACATAAACTGAAGTTGCAGTAGTCTCCAATTATCAGCAGCAACTTGATTTACTCTGAAACACAATCTACGCAGAGCTGATAGCCATTTTTGAGAAAACATGTGAACATTTTGGATAATTTCAATTGTATTTCATTACATTTCTTACTCCATTTTCAGTTGAAATTTAACTTAACAGTAAAACTGTACTTGAATATTAAATTGTATAGGCGCAGTATAAAGAAAACTTGTTTAAATACAATTTATGTGTTTTATCTACTTGAAAACGAATGCCTCAAGCTTCACAAGCAATGCCTATCTGTAAAATTTTTTTCTGAAAGCATGCATTCTTCAGAATAATCATTCTCCATCCCTCTCCCCTGTATGAAGCTAACAAAAATTAAAATAAGAGCAAAATTCTCATACAAACAACTTTATTATACTCTTTTCAGTCACAATAACGTCCATCAAACCAGATACAGATGCAATGATATTCAAAAATCAGGTTCGTTTTTAATATTAAAAATGATATGCTCATATTTTTTCCTAATGAATACCTTTGAGTTTAAAAAATAAATGCCATTTTATCAAATGATACAGTGAAATAATTTTATTTTATGGTCAGTGGTAATTAATATAATTACAGCAAATATTCGTTTTAGTACTTCCAGGCAAGAAAAAAAAAAAAAAAAAAGGAAGAAAAGAAAGAATGAAAGGTAAGAATACTCTTATCTAAAAACCAACAAATGAATGAAATAGTATATAAATAAATATAATATATACATCTTTTTATATTTTAATCATCAAATTCTGGTAATGTAATCAACACAGTTATTTGAGATCAATATTTTCACTAAAATGAATGGCGAATGAACACATGCGGTCAACGATTAAGCGGATTAATAACGGAGACAATAGATATGTTTAATCCGAAGACAAGCAAGAGAAAAACAAATAATCTACATTATAATTAAAGGAAAATACTACTAACAATTTATCTTCCTTTCAAGCAGTTTAATCTGGTGAATAAGTTCGTTTTATTGCATAAATTAAATCTATACTCACAATAAAAAGAATATACTTAAAAATAAAAAAAAGTTTTTTTATTCACATTACTTTTTTATTTCTATAGACTCGATGTAAAATAGAAAATAAATGGCTGTATACTTTATTTATTATTACGATTCAACAATTTACTTTTAACTAGCCTCTATGCGGCCAAGCCTTCGTCTGACTTTTAAATATACCGAAAAACAAACGTCCTCTAGACAAAACTCTCGACAAACGTCGTATTCAGATACCTCTCAACAAACGTCCAGAATCCAAGAAAAGCATTAAATTTAAAAACTGCACAGAATTATTGGCCTCATTTTTCCGAGTGGCAACAGTGCTGATATCAGCAACAATGGCATCAGTGGTATATCAGCAACAATGGCATCAGTGGTATATCAGCAACAATGGCTGCATGCCATTGTTGCTGTGTGCCATCGATTTGATGCTATTTCATCAAAAAACATTAAAAAACCCTCCAATTTTGAAAAAAATCGCTTCGAGGTGCACTGGCTCTTGTCTAAATGCACTTATGTACCAAATTTCGTAGCGCTGGGTCTATTAGCTTAAATGCAGCACGAACGAAAGACACACGCACAGAGCGAGAGAGAGACTCTTCCTTTTATTATATGTAGAGATGAATAATTTAACACTATACAACACACAAGGATATATACAGGGTGGTCATAAAAAACGTCCCCGATATATGGGCCCCTATCCGTTCAACCAATGGAAATTAAATTTCAGATATTATTATCTGAAAGTATGCTCTCGATTTAAAACATTAGAGCTTCCTTGATTACGGTTACAGTGAAAACATTTCGAAATTTTCGAATGGCAACACCCACTATTTTCCTGCGCAAATGATCATCGCATTGAAAAACCATAAATGGCGTTGGAGAGATACACACGTATGACGAAAATTGCCGGCGTATAACATTTGCAAAGAAGAGCATTGTAAAGGACCAATGACAACACAAGAGAGATTGATCAGGAGTTGAATGTATATTTCTATGCATATATTCAATGTTTCTAATAATACGTAAATAAATTTATGTAGTACATAGCGCGCAAGCAGATTTTCTTCATTAAATGGTAAGTTTTTGATCTAGGAAAAGAAATTATTCTGAACTGAAATAATTTATGAGTATTGAAAATCAATAGAAGGATATTAGTAACTTTTAACGACAACAGTTTTACTTGAATTCCAGAAGTTTGTCTGAATTTGAAAGGTAATAATTACCTTTCAAATTATCTTCTAACTTCTAAACTTCTGGTTTGAATTATGGTGTAGAGATAATTTTAGTCTAACGCAATATTATAAAGGTAAGAAAAAAAATTCACATGAAAAATATATTACTCGTATTATAATAATAATATGTAAATACAAATTAATAAAATAATGTATGTTGATATCATATGAAAAGTAAATACGACAAAGAATCTAACAATTTAAATGGAACTTTAGAAAACTATCTGAAAATCTTGAAATTCCTGTTTTGCGAAAAAAACTTAACATTCGCGAAATCATAGAAAATCTAAAATTCACGAAACTGTCGCGAAACTTTGCTCTGAACTAGTCGCGCCATGTCAATAACATGTACCCCATAACATTTGGAAAATGTGCAGTTCCTAAACGTTAATTAAGAAACAATACACACTGCTTCTTTGTATTCTTCGCAAATCATTGTTTAGCTGCAAAATAACATCTTCTGCATGCACAGACCGAATATCGTACTGATGGGAAAAACAATATGTATATATTTAAGTTTAAAGCTCCTATTTGAGAGGGAAAAGAAAAAGAAATTAAGCCTAAAAAAAGGGCTGAAAGCTTCTCAGATTTTACATTACGCACAAAGAGGCGTTTTCTTACTGTTCTGTGTGTTACCTTTATTTATTAAATATCATGTTCTTGGGACTTAAACCATAAAATCAATTCAACAGCTATATCACAACATAATTTTAAAATGAGCATATGTTTAAAATTTCCGATAGTCTCGCGCGCTCGAGATAATTTTTTTTTCGTACAGTGTTGCCATTGCTCGCTTTGAAATCGTTGAGTTTGTTAATTAAAAATTCGTTAAAGTGTTACAAAATATGAAATCGATAATATAACAAATTCTAAATTAGGGCTTCCAGATGCCCATATTCGGTGGAGGATTACGTTATTCAAAATTCGATGCCTCTAGGTACCGTTGTTTTATCACAATGCGAGAACTTAGTAACTTTTAAAGTTTACGACGCAAAATTCCAAAACAACATTAATGGTCCTTCTGGGCCCTTTGGGCTAAAAAAAACCTTTTTGGAAGTTGAAATGGATTGTCTGTTCAAGCATATAAAAGATATCTATAAAATTCCGTTTTGTCGAAATAAGTGCATTTCGCACTTTCTTTGACAGAAATAAAAATATCTGATTCTTTTGTAGTGCATAATTTTTGTTAAAATAAAACATATTAAAAGCAAAACTAAATTTTCTTACCTGGCATTATTTTACATATGTATCGGGCTCTGACAAAAAAACTAACACAATTATCTGCAATTTGCAATTTA